TGATCACCATTTCTGTGATTCTGTTCCTGTTCTAGTTGTTTGCTTAGTTTGTTTTTGTTGCTGTTTCTGTTTTTAGGTTCAGTTGTTGATAGTTATGAGTTTGTTGTCATTTTACTGTTCATAGCTTTTGATCTTCTTTTTTTTCTTAGATAAGTCCCTTTAACAGTTCATATAATCAGGCATGGTGATGATGAACTCTTTTAACTTTACCTTATCTGGGAAGCGCTTTACCTGTCCTTCCATTTTAATGATAGCTCTGCTGGATAGAGTAATCTTGGATGTAGATCTTTACTTTTCATGACTTTGAATACTACCTTCTAGCCCCTTCTTGCCTTCAAGGTGTCTTTGGAGAAATCAGCTGATAGTCTTATGGGAACTCCTTTGTAGGTAACTGTCTCCTTTTCTCTTGCTGCTTTTAAGGTTCTCTCCTTATCTTTAATTTTGTGTAATGTAATTATGGTGTGCTTTGGTGTGTGCTTCCTTAGATCCAGTTTCTTTGGGACTCTCTGAGCTTCCTGGATCTCCTGAAAGTCTACTTCCTTCACCACATTGGGGATGTTTTCCTTCATTATTCTTTCAAATAAGTGTTCAATTTCTTGCTCTTCTTCTCCTTCTGGCACCCCTATGATTTGGATATTGAAATGTTTAAAGTTGTCCCAGAGGTTCCTAAGCCTCTCCTCATTTTTTTGAATTCTTGTTTCTTTATTCTGTTCTGGTTGAATGTTTATCTCTTCCTTCTGCTCCCAATCATTGATCCGGCTTTCATTCCCTTTACTGTTGGTTCCCTGTATAATTTTCCTTATTTCACTTTGCCTAGCCTTCACTTTTTCCTCCATTTTGTGACCATTTCTGTGAGCATCCTGATTACTGGTGTTTTGAACTGTGCATCTGATAGGCTGGCTATCTCTTCATTACTTAGTTCCATTTTTGGAGCCTTGATCTGTTCTTTCTTTTTGGCCATATTTCTCTGTCTCAACATGCCTGTTACACTGGAAGGGGCAGAGCCTTAGGTATTCGCCAGGGCAGGGCAACCCACTTTGCTGCATTGTGATGCTGTATGTAGGGGTGGGGTCCCAGAGGGAACAATGATGCTTGCTCTGCTCTTGGCCAGCTTTTAGTCACTTTCCTTACTACCCATAAGCAAATTGGGCCCTTCCACTGCTGATTCCTGGGTGGGTGGGTTTATGAATGTTCTAGCACCTTGTGGGTCTCTCCAATTAACACTCTCTTGAGGCTGGGAGTTTCTCTTGCTGTCACATCCCCACAGGTTTTTACCTCCAGAGGTTTTGAGGCTTTCTTTCCCATGCTGGCATCCTTGGTTGTATAGTCTGTCTTTTTTTGGTCTTTGTTGTGATTGTAGTTTCTTCCTCTCATTTGTCATTGTTTTTTATCCTTTTTGTAATTTTTCTTCCTGGTATCTGAAGGTTTCTGCAGCATGGATTGCTACACTTACCTGCTGTAAAAAGCAGATGACCAGGTATACTGGATGGGAGGTGATCGTGGTTGATGACAATGCAGGAAATTGTCTTGATTTATTTTTTTGGTTTTTGTTGTTTCTTAGACCTTTGTGGTAGTTCTTGACCCCTCCTGAAAATGCTGCTGTGTAAAAACGTAAAGAGCTTTTGGAAATACCTAAGAATCAATACTACTGTACCCAGCAAAGCTCTCAATTAAAATGGAAGGTGAAATAAGTAGTTTCCCAGACAAAAGAAGGCTAAAAGAATACACCTCCACCAAACCAGCAGTGCAAGATATGCTAAAGGGACTGCTTTAAGAAGATAAAGAAAAAGAGTCTATGAATACCCAGTTCCTTTCACAATCACCATTGCTTGATATTACTAATATTTATAATACTTATTAATCTGATTGTGACAATGATGTGTTATTTTAATTACTTTATTATTTGCTGAAACTAAATCTGTTTTTGTATATTTCTTGCTTATTTTTATTATTTTTAAAAAGCTTATATGACTTTTTGGTATTCTTTATCCATTTTTTGATTCAATGTTTGTAGAATTTTTTTCCCTTAAAAAAAACCTGAAAAACTATTAACCCTTTATTAGATGTGTTGCAAATACTTTCCTATTCTATTACTTGTCCTTTAGCTTTTTTCATATGTATATACTGTACAGTCTTAAATGTTTAATATAGTCATATTGTCAATATTTTACTTTATAGCTTCTGGGTTTGAATGTTTTACTTCCAGGTAAGAAAAATATTATTTTGTATTTTCTCCGAAAACTCCTTACATATTTTACATATTGATTTTAACTCCCTGGAATATTTTTGTGTAATGTATGAAATAGGGCTCTATATTTATTTTATTTCAAGTAATTGTGGTCCATGCACCTTATTTGATGAATAAGACTTGTTTTCCCCATTGATTTGAAATATCAGTTTAATCATGTGTTATATTGTTAGACAGATATATACATTTGTTTCTAGGATGCTCATTTTATTTCAGGGATCTACTGGATTATTTCTATGCTGCTGTCATGTTGTTTTAATTGGTGATACTTTATAATGGATTTAAATTTTTTAATATTTCATAATGGATTTTGACATTTAAAAATAAATAAATAAAATCAATCTGCATTTAAAAAAGAAAGAAAGGAGGAATTCTTACCTTTTGCGACAACATGGAGGGAACTGAAGAATATTATGCTAAGTGAAATAAGCCAGTCGGTGAAAGTCAAATACCATTATGAGTGGAACCTATTCAACAAAATAATGAACAAAATAAACCACAGGGATGGAAACATGGAGCAGACTGAGTGACCAGAGGGGATGGGGAAGGAGAACAATGGTGGAAAGAAGGGGAAGGGACTAGACAAAGAACATGTATGAATGACCCATGGACATGGACAACCGAGTGGGAATTGACCATGGGGTGGGGGCAGGGTGGGATGGGTGGAGGAGGGGAAAGGGGGAAAAATGAGACAGCTGTAGTAGAATAAACATGATTTAAAAATAAAAAAAATAATAAAAATGTAAAAAAATGATAGTTTTGCTGGATAGAGTAATTTTGGTTATAGATCCTTGCCTTTCTTGACTTTGAAAATTTCTTTCCAGCCCCTATTTGCCTGTAAGGTTTTTTTGAGAATTCAGCTGATAGTCTTATGGGAAAAAAAATAATTGTGTAGAAATTCTGAGACATTGTTATAATTGGTGTTCTTTGTTCTGTTACCATGCTAAAAAGAAAGTCAATAGAATGCTAGCTGATTCATGATGAATAAAAAGATGATGTATACTAATGCTTCAGATATGTGACTGAGGATGCCCTAATATTAGCTGAGGAATTCTGGAACCTCGACCTGGTGATTATGGCTGTTAAAGTGTCAGAAAAATTCATTCCTACACTTGTGAAGTTATTACTCTATTTCATATGTATATATGATAAGCTACATTTTATTGTGTTAACTACCACAGAGCTTTTATTGGGCACCTATAGCAAGGTACTGTGCTAGTTTCTTTGAATACATTATTTAATTTAATGCCTGATGGGGTTGTAGAGAAAAGGGAACCCTAGTACACTATTGGTGGGAATGCAGACTGGTGTAGCCACTGTGGAAAACATTATGGCATTTCCTCAAAAAACTAAAAAATGCAACTGCCTTTCAACCAGCGATCCCACTGCTGGGACTATACCCAAAGAATCCTGAATCACCAATTCAAAAGAAATCATGCACCCAATGTTCATAGCAGCATTATTTACAATAGCCAAGTGCTGGAAACAGCCTAAGTGCCCATCAGTAAATGAGTGGATAAAAAAATTTGTGGTACATTTACAAAATGAAATACTATGCAGCAGAAAGAAAGAAGGAACTCCTACCCTTCTTGACAGCATGGATGGAACCGGAGAGCCTTATGATAAGTGAAATAAACCAGTAGGTGAAAGACAAATACCATATGAGCTCACCTATAAGTGGAACCTAATCAACAAAACAAACAAATGAGCAAAATAGGACCAGAGACTTGGAAAAAAAGAACAAACTGACAGTGACTGAGGGGAAGAGGGAGGGGGATAAAGGGAAGGGGGAGGGAGAGAAAGGGAAGGGGAAGGGGCAAGCAAAGGAACATGAATAGGGGACTCATGGGCATGGACAACGGCTGGAGGATTGACTGCAGGAGTCAGGGTGGGGACTGGGTAGGGGTGTGCAATGGGGAAAAAGGCAGGACAACTGTAAATTAACAATAAATTGTAAAAAATATTTAATGCCTACAAAATGCCAGTGTGGAAAACAGTACAATTATTCCATTTTGCGTGTATGGAAATTAAGCCTCAGGAAAATTGTGCAACTTTCTCAGCATCACCAAGCCAGTAAGCAGCAAAGTCAGATTTTAAACCCAGATTTTGAAATTCATTTTATAAATTCTTTAGGCTACAAGGATCTAAATTAATTTTATCCAACAGATATCCATCAAATGTTAGGTCTTGAACTGGACAAACAGGATAGAGATGTCTCTGCCTGATTGGATGTATGGATAGGTTCATGAGTGCTTGGATAGGTGGATTAAACTAAACAGGGAAAATGCATGGAATAATTAGGGAATCAGAGGGAAGAATCCGTGGCAATGGGAAGGTAAGTGAATGCCTGAGTGAATGAGGAAGTAAACAAGGGAATGGAATGAAAGGATGAGAGGGTGTGAATGAATGAATCAAGAGTGCTTGAATGAGTAAATGAGGAAATGAGAGGCTTTGAGGCTGCGCTACCTGCAGCTGGAGCTTGTGGAGGCCAGAGGGTGGGCAGCCGAGCAGCTACTCCACACAGTACGGTAGGCTCGGGCTGCTCCTCCTTCAGCCTGGTTAGGCCAACTCCTCTCCCACATCCTCCCCCTCTGCTGTTGCCCGCCCCCAGCGCCCAGACCCCAGTCCTGGGCAGGCTGGCTGAGGCGGCAGCTGCTACGCCCTGCTTCCCTGGTCCCGCTGCCGCTGCTCAGAGCTCCGCGATGCTCAGACGGGCCGCGCTGACCAGGGGCTGCCGCTGCAGCGCTGCACCATGAAGCTCCGCAGCAAAGCGGCTGCGCTGCTCCTGCTTGCTCTGTCAGCTCTGCTGCTGGCGAGGCTGACCCTGCGCACCGGCGGCGCTGAACCCCCAGCACCTCCTGCGCGTCCCGCGTCCGCCCCGCAGCGCCCTCACGCGCCGGGTCCCGCGCGCCTCCTTAGCCGAGATACCTTCACCCGCCCTGGACAAAGCGCTCAGAGGCGCCGGCCACCGGGTTCGCGCCCCCGAGCCGGCCACCGGGGCTCAGCGAGCCTGGAAAAGTTGGCGAGGTGAGTCGTGGCAGCCTACAGTCCTGTCTCGGAGCCCATGTCTCACCCCGTCCACCCATGCCAAATCAAAGGGAGGCTCTGGGCTGGAGGGACAGAGCTCAAGCTCACCCTCGGGCTGCCCATTTCTATTTCTTAACCTGATAGAAACGAAGAACCACCGTAATGGAGTTCACCCGATGGCCAGTGCTGATAATCACGTACATTTTCCAAAGAAGTGTCAGAGGAAGTGATTTATATATTACGTTTTTTTCCTTTAACTGTCGAAGCAAGGCTTATTTTTGCATTTTTGTAAATATGTGCCCTTTGTTTAATTTTTCAAGAGCCATCACGATGCAAGACTGCTTTATTTAATTCTCATGTTTCATTGGATACTTTTCACCAAACACGTAGGACTGATTTGGTTGGAAAAGTTAGGTGTTTACCAAAGACTGGCTGCCTGTAGTTGAACCTCGAATCACTGTGTGCTTAGAAGGAAGAGGCACTCGACCTAAGTTTATTAAAAGTTTTCTCCTTGAAAGGAGTGCATGGCCTGAAAGGACACAGTGGGGGGTTTCCCTGTGCCTCAGTTCTAGTTAAGACTCGAGAGTCGAGAGTCGTACAGAGAAAACATCTTAACCTTTGACAATATATTTGATATTCTCTTTCTTTGAATCTAAGCAAGGCTTAACACGCCACAGTTTTTCATCAGAGAGTATTTGGCTTTAGGGTTGCTGGCAGGTTAGGGGTTGCCTTTATTTCTTTTGTTGGGAAGAGCTTTAAAAGGACCCCTTGTCTTGTAGCTGCAGTGTTTACTTTGCCCTTTTGAAGCTGTAGATGTTTCTAATTGCCTTTGCAAGGTTAACATTTGCTGGGTTCCTTAATTACTTGAAATGAGTGTAAGAATTCTTTTTAACCATAATAACGAAATGTGTTTTGGTGCTTTAACTGTAACTAAAAGAAACAAAGCCTCAAGAAGTAGCTTTATTAGCTTCTTTTCTGCTTCAATAAGTGTACAGATGGGTTCTGACAAACTTGGGGTGGAACTCCCAGTTATCTATAGAATCATTCTTAAGCATTTAGAACCACTTACAACCCCTTATCAGTGTATATACTCTTTTAAAAAAGGATATTTCTGTTAGGAACTTAATAGGATTTTTCCTTTCTGTGTACTGAGTTTTCTTATAATGGATTATGGTTCAACTGCAAGTTTACTATGATTTGTAAATTGACGGGACTACCTGTAAGATAATAACTGACTCCATTTAATATAGCTAACCAGTCACAATGCTAAAAACAGTCATTGTTAACAGTTTTGGTATATAAACCACTTCATCTCCACCATAACCCTATGATAGTGGTTCTCAAGGTGTGACCTTGGGCACCGTTGGGCAAAGAGAAAGGTTGCCAGTTTGATTTCCAGCCAGATTGCATGCCCAGGTTGCAGTTCAGTCCCCATGTGGGGAGTGTAGAGGAGGGAACCCATTGATGTTTCTCTCTTGCATCGATGTTTTCCTCCTTTCCCCTCTCTCTAAAAATAAAGAAATACACTGTTTTTTTTTGTTTTGTTTTGTTTTGTTTTTTTTTTTAAGTATGGCCTTTAACCACCATCATCAGTGTCACCTGGGGCATTCTTAGGAAGGCAGAATCTCAGGCATCATTCTGGACCCATTATATCAGAACCATGGGGGTAAAGCCAGTAATCTGTGTTTTACCAAGTTCTTGCATTGTTTCTAATGCACATCAAAGTTTGAGAGCAGGCTCTGTGAAGTAAGCACTATTATTGCCATTTTACAAATGAGGGTAACACACAAAATGCAGCACTTCATCCAAGATTCATAGATAACATGTGGTAGGTAAGGATAAAGACCCAGTAGCAGCCTGGGTCCAGGTTGAGCTCTTACATGCTATGCTGATGTCATACACTAGTCTTGCCTGCATTTTATTATTTTTCTGAGATTTTTCTAAAGAAACAGCATAGATTTTTGCAACTGTTTCATTCTTCAAGGTGTTGGGAATGTTGAGGCAGTATTTTCTTGTCTCTATCTGAATAAATTGTCTCTGACTAGGAAGAGATCATGAACAGAATCTAAATTTAGGCAAGGACTATTTCCATAAGCAACCCTGGAAGCCATTTTTCTTTTGAACCTATCTCTTAGATTATCATGAAAATTGTGGGCAATACCATAGAAATAAAGAACAAAATTTAAGAAAGGAAGAGTGAAAAATAAGCGAGCCACAGGAAGTCTCAAGCTTAAATGCATAAACATAAAAGCCTAGTGCCCTCTGGAGAAGTTGACATTTTCTGGGATTTATTAATGTTTCTTTCACTACCTAGACAGAGATGGAGACAGAAGATTCTGAAGCAGTAAAGGAGCAGGAGCAAATATTTCTGTATGAACTCCTTTATTGCATTTCTAATCCTGCCTGGGTTAAATTTTTGTGGTTTAGGAGGAATTTTATTTTAGGGAGGGAAAAGAAAGCCTCATGTATTCAGAAAGCAAGTGCTTTAATCTCTTTATGTGGATAAAATCCAGAAGAAATGAAGGCTACAGGGATCTCATTTCTCAGGCTTGGGGGAGTCATCAGCAGAAGTTTGGAGTTGGATGTGACACACCACCTGCTGACCAACCAACCCTGGACAGTACTGCCTTGCCTCCCCTAGAGTAATGCTGTCAGTGAAGTTCTGCCACGTCAGCACAGGAAACAGCACTTTCCTTCCACATCTTGTTTTAATTTCAGAGAAGTTTCCAGGGACTTGCCTAGTTAGCAGGCAGACCCTGCAATTTTGTAATTAGTCATTTGTATGCAGTCTGTCCTGTGATGGCCTCTCCTCTCTATAAATATAAAGCCAGGGGGTAAGATCTGAGCTTTTATGTCAAGGTTGGGATCTGAAAACTGTTCTATTGCACAAGAGAAATGAAATCTTTCTATTTAGATTTATTGATGATTTATATCTGGCTGACTTCCAAAAAGAATTTGAGATGACTTTCAGTAAAAAGCACATATACAATAATGTCACTGAAATAGTTATACAAAATGGAAAGGCACAAAGAGGAGGGGGAAATAAGTACTATTTGTGAAAAACAGGCCACTATTGTTATAAAGATTAAGTGTTCAATTTAGTTCTAAGCTTCCTGGCAGCCATGTCAAAAAGGGAAGCATAGTGAGCTGTCTCATTGTCACTGAAAGATTAAAGGACAAGTTTATCAAGAGAGATGATTTGTTTTTCATGAACTGAATTTTAAAAGGAGAATTTAACTTAGGAATAAACTTTAGACTTTAAAAGTCTATCCAGTTTGCTTCTGAAAACTCCTCTTTGAGCCTACACATGGGAAAAGAAATTTTACTGTAATTGCCAAGCCCTGCCATGTAAAAAAAGAATGTGGCACCTGGAGTCCTGAGAATTGGATTCTAGTTCCAAGACATTTCATCTTAATTTCCTCATCTGTAAAATGAGTGAATTGATCCAAAGTTTTCTGAAATTTCTTCCAGCTCTGACATTTGGTGATTCTGTGATGATATCAAGTTTACCTCCAAAACCCCAACAAAGACTGTTCAGCTCTTTGTGCATCTCTTGCAAAATCGCTGTTTGTCATTTGTTGGCTACGGCCTAGAAGTCTTATCAATTATTCAACCTCAACCTTTTTCTGCACTTTTATTCTTTTTCTTCTGTGCTGGCCTGTATAGTGCTGTTTTTTCTTAAAATATGATTTCTAAGGGAGATTTAAGCTACCTGTATGCTCTTGAGTGCTCCTGTGCTGTTGTATTCCAGTCATTCAGCAAAAGTTTATTGCACATATATTCTGGGCCAGGCACTAATTGTATCAGTGGAGTTGCTGCCCTCCCAGGATTTTTGTGGGAGGAGGGAAGGAGGGAAGACAGAAATATGTTACACTTGGTAGCCTCCCCAGCTGCTTCAGTGAAAGGAAACATATGTACTTGCTCATCAGGAGACACCATCTCAGGAGTTCCCTTTGGTCTCTAAGTCTTCTCAGGAGATTCTAGCCTGAATACAGGTTTCACTAAAGAAGTATAATGTTATACAGCAAAATGCTAAGTTTGTGGCCATCCTATAATTTGCTGATAGGACCAGAGTACATGAAAGTTCTTTATATTTTGGATACCAGCTTTGATATTATATCCTATGAGTATTGATTCTATTCAGATTCATTTTTTGCCAATTAGTCTGTAAGTTCTCACTACCCCCTGCAAATTTCAGCCCCTACCAATACTCAAACAGTAAGCCCTAATTGGTTCTATCTCAAAATATATTCCCACTCTCACCATTTCTACCACTTCCATGGTACCACCAGTCTCCTAAACACGGTCATTTCACATCTGGACATCCAGCAGCCTACTGTCTGGTTTGCGTGTTTTCACTCTAGTGCCCTCTACAGTCCATTTCGTGTGCAGCTGCTGGAATAATCTTAAATGATGTAGACAACATCAAGTCACTTTCCTAGTTAAACCCCTACCAGGGGTGTCCAATAGGTGGCTGGTGGGCTGCATGTGGCTCAGGATGGCTATGAATGCGGCCTGACACAAAATTGTAAATTCACTTAAAATATTAGGAGATTTTTTTTTGTATTTACCTGTCACAATGTATTTAATGTGTGGCTCAAGACACCTCTTCTTCCAGTGTGGCCCAGAGAACCAAAAAGTTTGGACGCCCCTGCTGCAGTGACAGACCCTATCATATTGAGAATAAAATTCAGTTTCTTGGTGCGACCTTAAAGCTCTTGCCTGATCTCAACCCCATTTAGTTCTCTGACCTTGTTTCTAACCACTCCCTATTTCACTCATTCCAGTTCAGCCACACTGGACTTCAAATGCACTGAGCTCATTCCTACCTTAGCAATTTTTGTTTTCTGTGCTGGAATGTTCCTTGCTCACATCTTTGTATCACTAGCTTCCTCATTTCTTTCAGATTGGTTATGTCCTTAGAAGGGTCTTCTCAGCTGCCTTAGAGAAACAGAATCTTCCCTACTATTCTCTACCCCCTTACCCTTTTAGTATATATT